ACCCCCACCACACACACACACACACTGTCGATGGCTCACAGCTCACTCACTCACACTCCTGTTCACCATGGCTGACCCAAAGGTAGAGAATGACCTCATGGACCCAGAGACACGCTCGTCTGCCTTTCGTGCGCGATTCCTCGACAATCCCGACAAGGTGCTGAGTCAGAATGCCTGGTATGTGTGTGTGGGAGGGAGAGGGAGGATGGATGGTCTCCCAGGGGAGACGAGGCGGAGCGGGAAGAGGGGTGGAAGGGGGGGGGGGGGGTATCGGGATTGACATCGGAGACGGATATGGCCTTTGGAGGAAAAGATGGAGGAAGGAAAGTGAGAGGAGAGGGACCGCTATGGTGTGTGGATGAGTGGCGTTGTGTAGACTCACCTGGCTGCGCGGGGGTGATGGGCGATGGGTGATGGTGGTTGGGGATGCGGTGGGCGTGGCGGTCGGGGATGGCGTGTGCGGGTGTGTGGGGGGACAGGGATGATGTCGAGTGGGATGAAGATCGGCTGGCTGAGGCCAAGGCCAAGGTGGCGGCGGATGAGGTGACGCTGTCAGAGGAAGAGATCCGGGCGCTGGATGATGATGCTGGGCAGCACTGGGATGTGTTCTACGCTAAGAACGGAAGCCGGTTCTTCAAGGAGCGCAACTATCTCCATCTGGAGTTTCCTTTTCTGGTTGCGCCGCCGGCCGAGGGCGCCGGGCCGAACGTGCTGCTGGAAGTCGGATGCGGGACGGGGGCATCGGTGTATCCGCTGGCGCGGCAGGCGCCGAATCACCTGGTCGTCAAGTGCTTCGACTTTGCGCCGACGGCGGTTGAGGTGCTCAAGTCGAACCCCGACTATGCGGCGCTGGGCTCGATCGACGCATTTGTGTGGGACATTGCCAAGGATCCGGTACCGGTGGATCACCTCGCGCCCAACTCGGTCGACTTTGTGCTGCTCATTTTTGTGCTCTCGGCCATCAAGCCCGACGACCTCGCTGGGGTGCTCGACAAGCTGTACTCTGTGGTCAAGCCCGGCGGTCGGCTCATCATCCGTGACTACGGGCGGTATGACCTTGCACAGCTGCGGTTCAAACCGGGCCGCAAGCTCGACGACCACTTCTACGTCCGCGGCGACTCGACACAGGTCTACTTTTTCACCAAGGAGGAGCTTGCCAAGGCCTTTGAGACCGCCGGCTTTGCCGTGGTCAACAACACCTACGACCGCCGGCTCATTGTCAACCGTAAGAAGCAGCAGACAATGTATCGGGTCTGGTTGCAGTCGATGTTTGTCAAGCCCGAGGCCGAGGCGTCCCAGTAGAGAGCGGGCGCGGCGGCTCGTAGTGCGTTAGGCATCGCAGTCGGACCACTCGCCGGGGCAGATGGCGTTGGCGATGATGAGCTGCTGCCAGACGGCCAGCGGCGTGACCGGATGGCTTGGCTCGCACACCCAGTGGCCGCCGCAGAGGTCGCGCTCGGTGTAGTATCGCGGGTACGCAAGAGCGAAGAGATCGAGGTAGTCGATGCCGGCTTTGATGAGAATGGGCCGGACGACGCGATTGAGCGCCATGCGGCGGAGGTTGGTATCGCATGTCGGCGCAAAGGCACGCTTTGGGTCGACAAATTCGTTGGCCGGCGGCGTGGAGAGGTAGACGATGCGCGACTTTGTGGGATACGTCTCGTCGTCGGCGAGGTACTCGTTGACGAAAAAGTCGGCAAAGTCGCGGGCGTGTTCGCGGATGACGCCGCGCGGCTCTTGGATGTACCACGCACCAAAGTCGATGAGAGTGAGCGTGCTCGGCTTGAGCAGGTGCGGCTGGATGTCGGGCGGCGTGTTCTTGAGCCACTCGTTGTCCTTGGGCGCGGGCGCAACGAGCTCACGGAGATTAAGCATCAGCATCGACATCTCGTCGGTGCCCGGGCGCCAAGTCATGCGGCCGACAAGCCGACCGTACTTGGCGGTCACACCAGCGGCAGTTTCACCTGGCGCGCGTGAGACACGCGTCTCGCGCGCCGGCTTGTAGTACTGCCAAAAGTCAAAGTCGCGGTGGATGTTCATGCCCGGCTGGAAGAGAGCGCCGTCAAAGTCGTCTCGGGTGTGGCTGAGCTTCCGCTCTGCGCCGGCGCCAAGGACCTGGTGGTTAAACATGTTGATGGTCATGTGCGAGTCGCCAGTCGCCCGTGCCGTGGTGTTCTGACCCATGATGCACGCCACCGCAGCCTCGTCGAAGATGGGGAGGAGGCGGCAGGCGTCTGGGAGCCAGAGCCATGGCTCGCCGCTGATCTCGTCCATGAATCGGCGCCAGGGCGAGCCTGGGGCGCGCCAGACCCGGCTCTCCTCAAGGAGCGTGTTGAGCCAGCGGCCGCGGTGCGAGGCGTCGTCCATGTAAGTGCACCGCGGAAGGCTGCTGCGACCGGCCGGGGTTGCGAGCGGGTGGATCTCGCCCGTGACCACAAACGGCTTGGGGTAGCCCATCGGCGTGGCGTCGTACCACTGCGCCGAGTAGTCTGGTGCATCAGGCGTGTAGTTGCAGCCAACGTCGCGGTCGTTGAATCGCTTCGCCCGAGTAAACGGATACGCCAGGTGCTGGATGCGGACCGTCAGCCGGTACTGCCCAGGCACGCGGAAGCCGTCGGGCACGGTCACTGCGTACGTGCCATCGCGGTTGTTAAAGACCTCACCAAGGACCAGCTCTGGGCCCTCGAACAGAACATGGAGCACAGCGGCCTTGCGCTTGGCCACACCGGGCTCAGTCGCTTTGTTCAGCGGGTGGTGCTCCGGGAAGACGAGGCGGATCTCGACGGGTTCTGAGACCTCGTAGTCGCGGACGCAGGGCGCGCAGTCAAGCTGATGGGCAAACGTCATCGGAATTTGCATGTTTGCCGCCTCGAGAATGGCCTCCTCGAACGGATCGTTCTCCGGGCCGCCGAGATCCGGGAAGGCCAGATTGAGTCCGTCCATCTCCACGCCGTACTCGGCATCGTCCAACGTCCGCGGCGGATGTAGGACAGCAGGAATCGGCTTGGGCTTGTATCGAATGCAACTCGGAAGTGTGGCCTCCTCTGGGCTTTGAATCGAGGCGCTCAACGAAAGGTTGCCACCCCAGCTCGGACTCTGCTGCGGCGAGGAGTCCTTTGCTGGCGGCGGAGTATGCCAGCCGCCGAACGCCGGCATGGTGACCTCGACCTCGGACGGGCAGCGGAACCAGACCTGGAGGGCGAGGACAGCAATGACCGCTGCCATGCCCACCACCACCAGCATGCGTGCCATTGTGATTTGTGGCATGGCGTGCGAGTACGTGGGCGAGTCGAATGGCTGCCCGTGCGTCGCGCGTGTCGAATCGTGCGTGGGGAGTGAGGGGGGGGGGGGGCAGAGAAGGTCCGATCGGGAGGGACGAATGTACATGAGGTATTTGTATGGTGTGATGGTGTTGTGTGATGCGATGTGGTATGTGATGTGGTATTGTGTGTGTGTGTGTGTGTGTGTGTGTGTGTGTGTATGTGTGTGTGTGTGTGTGTGTGTGTGTGCTCGGGCATCTGACGTTGGCGGTGGCAGTTAGGCGAGCAGGCACATGGGTACGGGGGAGAGGGAGGGGCCGGTTTGGAGACGAGGAAGGACACTTGTCACGGGAGGGGGAACGCCTGTGTGCAGGGGCGACAGAAGATGGCTGGAAATGGCTCTGGCACAGATGAGGACTTGGATGACATCCTTGCTATGCTCGGTGCTGCCGAGGAAGACGGCGAGGGTGCCGAGGAGTACGGCAACGCGAAGAGCGGCGATCTGGGCGATGTGCTGAACGCACTGACGGACGATGGGGAGGACGGGACTGATGACGATGTGTCAGATGTTGACGATGTTCTGGCGCTGCTGGGCGAGGGCGAGGATGGTGATGAGACTGAGGCCGAGGCCGAGGCTGAGGCCGAGGCCGAGGCTGAGGCTGAGGCCGAAGCTGGGGCTGGGGCTGGGGCTGAGGCCAAGGCGGACGTCGTGACGATGGATGCAAGCAGTGATGGTTCGGACTGCGAGTCTGAGATCGAGGATGTACTTGCACTGCTGGGCGAGGGAGAGGATGACGAGGCTGAGGTTGAGGCCGAGGCTGGTGCTGGTGCTGGGGCTGAGGCCGAGGCCAAGGCGGATGTCGTGACGATGGATGCAAGCAGTGATGGTTCGGACTGTGAGTCTGAGATCGAGGATGTGCTTGCGCTTCTTGGCGAGGGAGAGGATGACGAGGCTGAGGCCAAGGCCGAGGCTGAGGCTGAGGCCGAAGCTGGGGCCGGGCTGGGGCTGAGGCCAAGGCGGATGTCGTGACGATGGATGCAAGCAGTGATGGTTCGGACTGCGAGTCTGAGATCGAGGATGTACTTGCACTGCTGGGCGAGGGAGAGGATGACGAGGCTGAGGTTGAGGCCGAAGATGGGGCTGAGGCCGAGGCCAAGACGGATGTCGTGACGATGAATGCAGGCAGCGATGGTTCGGACTACAAGCCAGAGATCGCGGATGTGTCGGCGCTGCCGGCAGAGGGCGATGGTGATGAGGCTGAGGCCGAAGCTGGGGCTGAGGCCGAGGCTGAGGCCAAGACGGATGTCGCGACGATAGATGCAAGCAGCGATGGCTCAGACTGCAAGCCAGAGATCGCGGATGTGTCGGCGCTGCCGGTAGAGGGCGATGGTGATGAGGCTGAGGCCGAGGCCGAGGTAGAGACCATGACGGCGGCTGAAGCCAAAGCAGAGTCTAAGACAAATGTTTTGGCGGCGGACACGAGTAGCGATGGTTTGGATTGCAAGCCAGAGATCGAGGATGTGTCGGCGCTGCCGACAGAGGGCGATGGTGATGAGGCTGATGCTGATGCTGATGGTGATGCTGAGACTGATGCTGAGATTGCGGCCGAGACCAAGCCTGCTGTCATTGCCAACTCCACCAGCACCATGCCGAACAGAATCGAACCGTCACATGTCGATGTTTCCGACGCCACGACCACTACCGTCGTGCCCGAGCCAGTGGAGATGGATGGTACATTGTCATCCTCGTCATCCTCGTCATCATCCGCTCCTGACCCAGACGTTGCTGCGCTTCTGGCGGCCGTCGAGGCCGGAGGCGATGTTGCTGCCGTTCTTGCCGTCTCTGACTCCGATAATGCCGCCGACACTGATGATGCCAGCAACATTCAGGACATGCTGTCGTCCCTCCACGAGGTCGACGAGGCCACTGCTCCGGCCGCGCTCGATTCTACCACCGAGGACGCCGAAGACATACAAGAGCTTCTTGCCTCGCTTCACGAGGTTGACAACAATCCAACAGCTTCGCTCGCACCGGAGTCCACCAGCGCGGCGCATCTTGCCGACAACACCCCGTTCGCACCGGAGTCCACCAGCGCGGCGCATCTCGCCGACAACACCCCCCCGCACCGGAATCCACATCCGACAACTCGCCCAAGCCGACATCCAGTGGCGCACGGTGCACAGCTGACGGATGCACATGCGAAGAGTTTGAGCGCAAGAAGTTTGGTCTTCGCCTCAATCAATGCGCAGCCTGTTTCCATCCGGCTCTGGCCCACGGCGTGGTATCGGCTGCTCCCGAGCCGGCCCCAGTCTCGCCGCGCCACCCTAAGGTCGAGGCTCTTATCAAGGCTGGTGCCGAGTCGGATTCGGACACCGTTACCTCGTCCTACGACGGATACTCGGACGACGATTCATCAGTAGCTCTCGAGCGCCAGAATGACTCGGTCGTTGCGATTCGCCTCTGCGAGCTGATGGACCAGGTTGCGTCACTGGCTGATGTTGCCGCCCAGCCCGGCGAAGAAGACAAGGAGCTGGTTCTTGAGGCTCGCGGTGTCCACGCTGCTGTCCTTGCTCTTGTCCGCGCCGTCGACTCGCGGATTGCGGCTGTCGCGGTCACCGACGCTCAACTGTGGGAGAACTCTGTCGCTGCTACCGCCGTCACAAGCCTCCAGAACGACGGCTCGGCGCTCCTCGCTTCAGCTGCCGCCGTCCGCCGCGAAGCCTCGCTCGCTGCCTGGGACTCACTCGACGCCGCCGCCGCCAGCCTCATCGCCCACACCCTAACTGTCGTCTCCGCTGACACTGCCCGCGCGGACATCAAGACAGCTGGCTCCCGCGTTGCCTCCCACACCAGCGCCGTCCGCATGGCCTCTATCAAGGCCGGCAACGACGGCCTCAAGGACGAGCTCCGCGCCCAGAATCGCTATGTCGACGAGGAGCTCAACACCTCGCGCGCCGCTGCCATCGAGGAGCTCTGGTCGTCCATGCAGCTTGTCGAGTCGGAGCCAGACCAGGCGCTTGCGACTGCTGCCCCCGTGCGCGCGTCGAGTCCCGAGCCAGCCCCTGATCCGGCACGGCTCACGCCGCCACCGCCTTCCCACGAGACCTCGTTCCGTTCCGAGACATCCAGCGTAGCCTTGGCGACTGACGACGTTGCTGCTATGCGCGCCGCACTCGAGGAGGCACAGCGCGAGGCAGCAGCTGCGCGGGCAGCACTCGAAGCCGAACGCAAGGCTGCCGAGCGGGCGGCAGCAGCTGCCCAAGCGGCCGTCGAAGCCCGCAAGGCCGCCGAGGCCAAGATCGATGCCCGCCAAGTGAGCCTAGCCGAGCTGGCCCGCCAGCAGGCCATGATTGAGCACGAGGCTGCGCTTCGACTCGATGACGAGCAGGAGCGCCAGGCGCGCGAACTCGCCGCCCAGGTTGACGAGCTTCTCGCGTCAGGCCCGCTCGCCTCGCCTCCGTCGTCGCTCACCCAGCCGACGCTGGCGACAGAGGCCACGTCGGCCGAGAAAGAAGTACTCGCCATCAAGCAGTGGATCGCCTCGCTTGTTGGTGAGCTCGAGACCCTCCAGGCTGTCGCCTCCAACGCAGCGCTCATCGACCGACTCAAGGCCCAGGTCGCCACGCTAAGCGCGCGGCTCGACTCGGTCAGCGCCCCGCCGCCTGCCACAGCCGACATCTACGCCGCGCCGTCACCGACGCCGCCCCGCCGGACCCCCTTCCTCCCCCCACAGCACACATCACCGCCGCTTCGGATGCCGGCATCTGATGTTGAGCTCTTTACCGAGCTGCTCTCGCTCCCAGTCGTTGAGCTCTACGACGTCCTGCACACCTGCCAGCTTCCGGCGCTGAGCTCGCTTCTTGCGCGCGCCACGCCGCATCTGATGGCCCAGCCGCTGCTCCCATTCCTCCGCGAGGTTGTCCGCGACAAAGAGGCCGCGGCGGCGGCCGCCGCACAATGGCAGACACAGCCACCACTGCGCCCGCGCCAGCGGGTCTACTCGCCGCTCGTGTCTCACGCCACGCCGCCGCCGACTCAGCCGCGACCGGTTGCGCCGCCGCCGGCCTCATATCGTGTCGGCTCTCTCACCGAAGGACTCGATCCGGCGCGTGAACAAGCGTTCGACTCGCTCACTGCTGTCGTTTCGTCGCTTGTCCGCGAGGCCGCGGCGGCCCGAATGCCGGCCAGGGTGTCGACGGGCTACACCAGCCCGGGATCGCCGTCGAGTCACGGCGCCGGCTACAGGTATGGCACCAACTACGGGTATGGCCTCGGATACCGATAAACCGGGAGAGGCTAAAGAGACAAGCGACAAACGGCGACGTTCATTGTCATCAACGAGCACAGCGAGCGTGAGCGCGACGATTACTCGCAGATCCACTGGGCGGCCGGGAGGTCCCACGAGGTGATCTCCTCGTCCTTGAACCAGAGAGCGATCTCGTGGTTGGCGGACTCGACAGCATCCGAAGCGTGGACGATGTTGCGCGAGATGTCAGCGGCGAGGTCGCCACGGACAGTGCCGACAGCAGCCTCGGCCGGGTTGGTGGCGCCGACGAGGAGGCGGCCGATGCGGACGGCGTTCGGGCCCTTCCACACCATCGCGCACACGGGGCCCGAGGTGATGAACTCGACGAGGCCAGCGAAGAAAGGCTTCGACTTGAGGTCCTCGTAGTGCTTCTCAGCGTGCTCAGGCGTGACCTGAACGAGCTTCATGGCCACAAGCTGGAGGCCCTTGTTCTCGAAGCGGGAGATAACGTCACCGATCTACGCCCCCGCCGCCATGACCACGACCCGCCACCACACACACGCCCCGTGAGCACACACCGCGCCCAAACCCCACCTCCTACCCATACAAAAACATAAACCTACACATCATGTGTCCGTCCCCCCCCTCCCCCCCCCCCACTCCCACCCTTCCGTGACCTCCCCCCCCCCTCCGCCCCTTCCCCTTCTGCCGAATGGTGGTGGATGTGCCATTTCTTGCAATCCCTCCCCCCTCCCCTCCCCCTCCCTCCCTCTCCCTCCCTCTCCCTTCCATCCCTCTAGAGCACGTACGAGGCCACGGGCCACGCCATCGGGCTTGATCATCACGTAGGTACGCTCAGCGGAGGAGTCAGCCATGGTTGTTAGTTGAGGTTAAGAGGGGTGGTTTCGACCGTCAACGATAATGGCATACGACACCGGTTCCTCTCCTGAGAGGCCCGTTGCCCTACTCGGCGCCACTTGCCGCCCTACGCTCACATCAGTCGTCAACTGCGTGCAAAAGGCAAAGACGCTGAGTCCAGCAGCGTGCTCGTGTCGATGGTCAAGGCCGGCTAGTGATGGGCGTCTTGCCGACAGCATCCGTCATGAGATCGATGCATACAAGCTCCTCGGTCTCACGGGTCGGGTGGATTCTGCCGGCAAACTCGTCGAGCACGCCCGGCGGAAACCACTCGTGGCAGGGCTTGGGAAAGCACTCGGTGCACCAGTTGTTGGTGGAGACCACAAAGTCGGCGTGCGTGGCGGCCCAGTCCGCGAGCTTGCGTGCAGGGCCTCGCTGGTCCGCCGCAACGTCATCGGGGACGACAAGCGGGCGCAGGCCATCGAGGATCGCGATCCACGGCGTGACGTCCAGCAGCTTGGCCGAGTCCGCGCCAGCCGTGACCTTGACTGCGGCGGAGAGGGTGCGGAGCAGATCACCTGGCTGGAGCGGGAGCTTGCCTGCAGCCTCGAGCGGCGCGGCGTCGAGGACCGCGTCGGGCGCCTCGCCGGCCGGATCGAGCGGGCGGATGTGAATGCCACGCTCGAGGGCGAGCGGGCCGGTGGCCATGGCGGTGTCCATGATGTGGTCGAGCGGACAGGCAAAGGGGACAAAGTCAGCGCGGACGTCCTTGTCATCAATGACCTGGTTGGAGCCCGGGAAGCGGCAGCCTGCTGCCATGATGTTGTCCATGGATGCCACGTCGCAGTGGCAGGTGGCGCGCGGTATGGCGAGCGTCCGCTTGAGGGCGCCGGCGAGGACTAGTGCGTTGCGGATGTCACGCAGCTGCTCACGGATCGAGCGGATGTGTGCCTCGGCGCCGACCGTCGTCGCGTTCACGCCGGGGACCCGAGACGGGCCAAAGGAAAAGGTGACAGACTGCGCCGGCAGCGGCCAGTCAGTGTCGCGAGCGATCCACTCGCCGGCCTCGGCAAACCGGTATTCCTTGCCGCGCGCCGAGTTAGTGCGAGTATAGGTGGCGTGGATGGCAAAGGCCGGAAACGGCGCGTCAAGCAGCTTGCGACGCCCGTACGCCATCTGCTGCACAAATGCGGTGTGGCCCGAGAGAAAGCCGCCGAGTGGCAAGAGGCCAGCAACGAGGTCGACACGCGGCAGGCTCACGTCGTCGCGAGCCTCGATTGTCCGAGTCACCGTCCGCGGCGGCCCGCCTTCCACCACATCGCGGATAATGTTGTCATTATGCATTGGGTTGACAATGCGATTGAAGGCCTCCTGGTGCGTCCGCACAAAGTCGTACCTGCCAGTCTTGGTCAGGCCATCCTGCGCAGCTGCGAGCCAGTGCCGGACCATGCCGATGCCAGCCGGCGTCGCCCGAAGCAAGACCATGCCGGTGTTGTACTGGCCGTGCATCGAGCCCTCGGCACCTAGGCTGGTGTCGATGCCGATGCCGAGATTGTCCGAGGTCCAAGCCACATCTGCGGCGGCGAGGCCACCGTTGACGCAGTTTCTGCCAGTGCAGTAGAGAAAGTCTCGTGGATCGGCCTTCCATACAACGTCGATGTCAGTGAGGAAGACATCAAAGCCGGCGCAGAGCCAGCGGAGCGCCTCACCAACCCAAGCAAGCGCAAATCGGCCCTTGAAGTCGAAAGACGAGTTGCGCTCCTGCCGCCCGCCCGAGTCGAGCTCCAGGTCCAGCCGATACGCCGCAAACTCACCGCGACCGGCCGCCGCATACTTGCGCGCCATCGCCAGTGTTGTGTTGTCCAGCGCAGCTACGCGATGCGGCAGATCAAGACGCGAGACGTGCGCCAGGTAGTTCTTAAACAGCCTCTCCATGCCGGCCACCACCGTGAGCAGCATGAACCGACGCTTGCCATCGCCCTTGCCCCGTGGCAAGCCCTGCGGTGGCGCGGTGCACATAGAGTCGAGATCCGCCAGCGGCAGCGGCGCATCGTTGTCCATTCCCACCGGATACGGTAGGCCGTGTCCGAACTCTGCGTCGTCGCCACCAGAGGACGAGGACACCGACTCGTCAGTGCCATCGCCATCACCAGACACAGGCAACATCTCATTGTCGCCATCGCCCCGTTCATCACCCGCCCCGCCTTCCTGCCCATTCGTCCCCTCATCGCTGTAGCCCAAGCTGCCCTGACTCGCACTGTAGCCCGAGTACCCTGCGCTCAACCCATCGACACTATCATTGCCGTCACCATCATCCTCCCACGAGACCCCATCCATGCCATCGGCCTGCTCTTTGGGCGAGTCGCCTCCTTCTATGCGGATGCGTGAGATGAGACGGAGGGACCTAGCCTCTGCAGCAGCGACGGGCGAAGCCACCTTGGCCGACCACGACCACGAGAGCGAGAGTGCAATGGTAAAGCCAGCGAGGATACCCACGGCAAGGACGGCAAACTCACGGTTAGAAACCATGTTCTTGCACCTCTCCACCCTCTCCCAAGTCGAATGCCCACGCCCACCACGACTCGGACCTCTCCTCACATCTCCCACCTCACTGCCAAAAGACACGCACGCCCCCCTCCCTTTTTTTTTTTTTTTT